AGGGAAATTGTCCAACTTTCCTCATTTTTCACTGTTTAGGTTCAGCTGCAGTTTTTAACAAAAAACTAATTTCTAGTTCTTTGACAAAATAACAAAACAGAGAATATAATGTATATAAGGGGGCCTAGTGCTTGACACGCACTGTTGGTTATATCGATGCTTGTTTTGACTCTTTAACCATCTTTAAGTGGTTCACTGATCTGACGGATGGTAACACACTTCCAGTTTTTTCTTGTGGATGAAGGGTTAGCAGGTTTCTGAGATTGGTGCAGTCCTCTTACTGTTGGCTTATTTATTCATCTTTTCAGGCTCGTAAATGTGCACATTATTTTTTTACACCTTTAAATGCAGAATGACTTGCTAAATATAAATGACTGCCTTTAAATCAATTGTAATCATTTTACTTATATTGAGTCATGTGTATTTTTGCACACGTACTGTAGTTGTGCTTCATTTGTTTGTGGTAAGAGGGAGAATACATCTCTATTACGTTTGATTCAGATTTTGACTCTTCAGGGTTTGATTTGAGGCTTTTGTGTTTAAAGGTTTAGTTATTAATATCGATCACCCTACAGCGTGACTGAAAAGCCTCCCGACTAATGCCTTGTGCTGTGCGTGGTCTAAATGTGGGTTTCTCATAGTGTCGTTTTCAGAGGCTTTAAAGTGCATTTAATTCGAGCTCCTGCTCTATAGCTTACTTCTCTGAATCCATAAGGTTTGTGTTTTTCTATTTAATGTATTCAACTTACTGGTTTTCCAACTGGGATAGTATATATAAAGCATACTGTGCTACACAGAGTTACAAGATGCCACAGAGGTAATTATGCAGAATTATACATTTATACACATTACAGGACTTGAGGGATTTCTCATCCTGTTTCATCCAGGCCGGGTCACGGGGGCAGCAGCCTACGCAGAGAAGCTCAGACCTCCCTCTCCCCTGCCACCTCCCCAGGTCAGCCGAGAGCGTGTCCCGGGTCTGCTGCAGAGCCTCATTCCTTGCTTTAAAAAAATGATTTGACTTATAAAGCTTTAATATTCAGCTCTAACCTTTTCCACAGATAGGGCAGCAATGGGGTCTATCTCCAGTGTGCAGTCTCTCGTGGGACCTTAGGCTGTGGGGGTCCCTCAGCGATTTTCCGCAGTAGCTACAGAGAAAACCGCCTCCGGTGTGGGAGAACATGTGCCGACGCAGCTCCGGTTTTTGGGAGAATGTCTGACTGCACTCTGAGCAGGAGAACGGCTTCTCTCCATTGTGGATTCTCAAGTGGCACTCAAGGTTTCCTGCACACACAAACAGAGACAGTTGCTTATTAAAAGGGTGGGGTGGGGTGGGGGGGGCTGTAGCAGCAGTGGGAGCAGGAGAATGAATATGCATTTGTCCAGTAACGTGTTGCTGGTGTCACTTTGATGGATGGAAAGATAAACTGCAGGAATTGATCACAGCTGGAAGCGACATCGAGTGGAAGGAAAACAGCAGGGTAACAGTCACTTACTGAAAATAATGATGACGTCAGTGTGACCAGAACAAATGTGACATTGTGGGAAACACTTTACAACAGTAAGAAAGTAACACGTTTACTTTTCAGCAGCGTATCGAGTTGAGAAGATCAATATCAATTTGATCCGTGTGTGTAAACAGTTTGGTTCAGGGAGACGACTAAACCTGAAAACCTGCTTCATTTATGAC